TCTTGTCTCTTTTTTACTTATTAGTATCCTTAAAGGGTTCAACTGAATATGTAATTCTTCACGTCCTGAAATGTTCTTTGGAGTTGCTGAGATAAAGACAATTACTTGTGGGCTTTATTCCAGTCAAGCTAAATTTCAGGAAAAAAAAAAAAAGAAGAACTGCACACCAACATAAAGGTTTCCAACAGCTGTGGGACCCTATTATGCATATTTTTACTGCTATACATTTTTTTTTAAGTTACAATAGGAAAATTGACTCAGTATAGAAAAAATGTGAAGGAAAAGATCCCTAAGAGTGAAACACATAAATCAGTTTTACTTTGCTTATGCAGCATAATAATGGCCATATTTAATGTAGGTATATTTTATACATTACCTTTAACAAACCAATAATTGTAGGTTGTGTGAGTCTTCTATGTGGTTTAAAAGTTAGTCTGAAAAAAATGCTAACAGAACATAGTGAGAAACTTTTCTGTTATGGGTAAACTCTAGTTTAATGGCTAAAAATATTACTTTTTATGCTATTTATACTACCAAATCAGGTTGCTCAATATTTTTCTGAGGGAAAAACTGTGTGTGTGTGTGTGTGTGTGTGTGTGTGTTGTGTATGTGAAGGTGAGATCTCTGAAACTAAAGTTTCCCTTAGAGATTCTCAAATGTGTTTATCTAAAAGAAAACCAGAAAGAATTAAGACATTTTTATAAATTTCATGTGTACCAAACTCAATTAATAGAAAAACATCGGAAGGGGTGAAGAGCAGTAAAAAATTGTTCTTTAACTGGATTTTTTTTCCATGCTATCCAATACAAAAGTGCTTCTCTGCAAAGAACAACTTGTGATGAAATTTTAATTATATTTGTAGATGTGCTTAAAATATAAAATCTACAGATTCAGGAAAGGTTATAGAAAGGGGAGAAGTAATTTTTGGTTATAACATTTCATAATCGAGAAAGAAGTTCCCTTATTTAACACATTTCCCTTATAGCTAGCATTTAAATCATGATTTATAACTTCTGTAAAATAAATTAAAAGGATGTTAAATTCTAGCAAAGTTATTGAAATCTGATCTGAGATTCATTACGACTAAAACTGTGAATCATTTTTAAGAATTAACTTAGACCCATAAAACTGTTAATGTGGTCTTAGTACACTGGAAATTAAAACTGCCCATCGTTTCTCAGCCTTTTGGTGAAGACCAAGTGAAATTAAAACTGCTCCGGACATTTCCCTTGACAGCTGTCCAGTCTCCACTAATCAGTTACTTTTGTAGGTCAACTTCATTTGGCACATTGTACTTGCAGTATAACTGGAATGCAATTATTTCTCAACATACAATCTGATCAAATCTTTGTAATAAAAACAAATAAGTAGCTGGAAAAGACGAAAATTATATTCCTCTGTAAATATAAAATATACAGAAAA